CTTCAAGGAAATTTCAAAGAGTTGGGGGTGTTGAGACCCTATCCAAGTGAATGGGATGCGATCCTGTATTCTCCAAAATTCAAACCACTCAACTTGATATAATTTGATGGCAAGGGTTCTCCTACCCAACACATTTATTATTTCCAAGCACAGACTGGTCATATAATGGGTAATGACCCTATTATGACTCGACTTTTCATTAGTACTGTGAAGGGGGTGGCTTTTGAATGGTTTCGCATACTCGAAGAAGGGTCAATCCAGAGTTGGAGTGATTTAGAGAGGATTTTCTTAGCCCGATTCTTCGACGATGATATTAAAGTGTCTATGGCTACATTATTGTCTGAGAAACAGAAGAAAACGGAGTCGGTCAGTAACTTCGTCAAGAGATTCAGAAATCGATCGTTGCATTCACGTGATCAAGTTTCTGAAGCTAATCTCGTGGAAATGTGCCGCAACAATCATTCCATCAATATCTTATCCAAGATGGGCGCTATTGAAGCCCGTTCATGGAAGGATTTGGTTTGGCAAGGAGAGCAGGTGGAAAACATGCTCAATAGGATAAATGCTGAAGAGCATCTAGAATCCCAGCCTAAAATAGGAGGCGGTAAAGGCAATTATAGTTCCCAGAAACAGTCAAAAGGGAAAGACACCTTAGCTGTTGAGACATCCCCATCCCCGAAGTCTTCTACCAAGCAAAAGGGAAATACATCCGACAATCGTTTTCAGAAGAAATACAATTTCAAAGATGAGCATGTGGTTTCTATTCTTACATCTTTGATTAAGATGAATAAGATCAAGCTGCCGGAGGTAAAGTGGAACGCAGAAGTATCAAGGACTGATGATCCTAAGTTTTGCATGTACCACAGGATGGTGCATCATCCAACTAAAGCTTGTTATATCCCGAAAGACAATATTCAAGCTTTATTAGACGCAGGTGTGATGACCCTTCAAGCTGAGCAAAAGAAGGTGTCTGCGAATATGGTTTCACTTCAATTTGGGGATTTTACTGAAGTACAAATACAAGATGGCGTGCAACCAATTCCTCAAGCGGAGGCGAGGGTGGTGAACTTCGACCCATATCAGAAGAAAGAGAAGGGGATGGTCACTTACACTACTCCTAAAGGTGAATTGATGTGGGTTCATCCTGACTTATTAATGGACGAGCAGTGGACATCGGCAAACTCAAAGAAGCCTAGAGCCACACGAAGATCTTGCAACACCGTTTTAGCCGTTCCAGATGAGGGGGTTGAAACTACGTCACTTAGCAGTTCTGAGAATGAACAGCCAACCTTCGCTGCACAGGTATCAGGAACCCACAGAGGAAAATGGTATTTGAAGAAATATTCTAAAACAGCGGCTACACCACCCAGACCAGGGAAAGAAGTAGCGGAGCAAACTCAAGCTAAGGAACTTTATTACAACAAAGCACTCAGGAAAGATGCGCCGGAGAATTCGAAAGATCCTTTTTGGTTTGATGTGCTGGCTCGGTTAGCCAACATCCCAGCAATGATTACCTTGTTTGAGCTCCTACGTTTATCTCGATCAACGAGAGAAGCTCTCCGTGAAGCATTGGCGGATAACGAGGTTTTCCTCACTCATTTTCCACGAAATCCAGCCGGAGCAACGCTGGAAGAAGCTTGTCCTTAATGTTGTCATGTTTTTCGAAGAAGAATACCATGCATCACCTTTTCTCAAGAAGACATGCATGTGAGGAACCCAAAACATGATAGACTATTGTACTTCACAGTGTACATCGGCTCTATTCGGGTAGATAGAATTCAGGTTGATCCTGGTTCTTCTTTGAGCATCATACCATTGCGACTCGTTCATCACCTTAGAATTCCTCTGCATCGTTTATCAATGACGAGAACCACCATATATGGCTTTAATGCCTCTAATACTCGTCCCCTTGGCAAAATCAAACTCAAATGTCAGATGGGTGACTTGAGGACGGATGTTACCTGCTACGTCATCGACGCAGAGACATCTTACAACTTGTTACTGGGTCGACCATGGATCCATAACAATTTGATTGTTCTATCCACTCTACACCAATGCATTAAATATGTAGGTGAGAGTGGTGAAGTAAAAACAGTGGTCGCAGAGAAGTAATCATTCAAGGGGGTAGAAAATTATTTTACTGATTCTATCCATTATCTTGATGATGAACCATTTGAGGTACCACTGATCGAAGAACCAAATAGTGGTAATGAAGCCGATATCGAGTCTGACACGAACAGGGTCTTGTTTTTAATGACATAGAACCCATCGTAATCGGTCTTGAAGATCTGGAAGTAAATGATCCTGTCTATAAAGACAGTGGAGTTATCTTTAATAATAATGATTTAGCTTACTTCTCGCGTGTAGAATTAAATTCTAACATGCCAGGTACAAACGCTGATGTGATAGTGGATCCGCTATCCAAGTTATATGATGAATCAAACTTGTATATGCCGATTCAGTCGTCTTTTGTGACAAATCGACAACAAACCGAATCTTTGCAAGCAGTCTTCATAGTACCTGCTAAGGTTAACGGTCAAAAGGAGATTATCTTTGAAAAGAGTGACGGCCCGGTGCAAACCATTTTAGAGGAATCCGAGAAAGAGGAAAGGGATCCGCAATTCTCATACTTTACTCCAACAACTCGAAAGCTTATGAAGAATATGGGATACGATTTCATCCATAAACAGGGCTTAAATTTCGGCATAGGGATCCGGACACTAATACGATCTGCGTATGTCCCGGAAGGACAGCCAGAAGATTATTATCACAAAACTCGTAGTGGATTGGGTTATGAATCTCCACCGTTTATGCTGCGTTTTCGGACTAAAGGACAGCCAGATGATGATTCTTTCACCTCGTCTTCCAAATCCAATTGCTGGGAATCTGATACCAGTACAGGAGCTGTATTCAAAATACTCATGGCTAACATGACCTCAGTATCTTCGATAGAGAATCAGGAAGATGATCAATTACTTTTGTTTGACGATCTATTAAGTCGACAGCTCGGTATACAGTGGGAACACCATTTTGAACAACGTGAACCCCCTACTGATGACAAGGTGATTCAGGTGAAAATGGGAGATGAGATTAATCCAAAACCCATATTCATAAGTGATAGTTTATCTCCAGAAGAGAAAGAAGACCTCATTACCTTAATCCGAGAGTATATTGATGTCTTCGCTTAGAACTATGAGGATATGCATGGGCTTGATCCTCAAGTGGCTATGCATCGATTAAATATCAAACTAGACATCAAGCCTGTTAAATAACAGCAAAGGCGATTTCGGCCCCAAATCATGAAAGCAATTGAAGCTGAAGTCAAAAAGCTCATCGAATCAGAATTTATCCGCGAAGAGCAACATCCTGATTGGGTGGCCAACATTATCCCCGTCCTAAAAAAGAACGGGAAGATTCGAGTTTGCATCGACTTTCATGACTTGAATTCGGCTTGTCCTAAAGATGATTTTCCGTTACCTATCACGGACGTCATTATTGACAATACGTGTGGGTTTGTGAGGATGTCCTTTATGGATGGATTCTTAGGGTACAACCAAATCAAAATGTATCATGATGATGAAAAGCATACATCCTTTCGAACACTTTCAGGGATATACTGTTATACATGAATGCCCTTTGGGTTGAAAAATACGGGCGCCACCTATCAATTCGCTATGACCTCTATCTTCCGAAAACATCTATGAAAGACTGTGGAATGTTACGTTGATGATATGGTTGTCAAAAGTCGTGACAAGGAAAACCATTTACACGACTTGAAAATAATATTTGATCTTATGCGGGCGCACCAGCTCAAGATGAATCCAACTAACGACGGCCTCGGCAGCGAGGCTGTTGGCTCCCACTGTGGTCGCCAGCTTGTTTGTGTCGAAAATTGTTGTATTCATTACTGTATTCATTACAACTTTAGTCGTTACAATGAAAAAAAAAGATTGTCTTTTTATAAGACCTTTACACAATGAAAACAAAAGTTACAACTCTCGTCAAAACAAACGCAGAGATCGTTTATCGGTCTTCTGCTTGCGTGGGTCTTTTGCCTGTGACGGGGACGTCAATATCCGTGGACTACCTGGCACTCAGATCTGTTCCGGAAAAATTGGACAGAGCTTCGTTGATCCGCGTGAGATCTAGAAGCCTGAAGCGTCTATCTCGGCTAAAACGAGATATCTGCTCTTCTTAGTGATTACCGGCGAAGGGTAATACTAAGGAAAAGGGGGGACGGGTGATGAAGACTCTGATGAAGACCTCTCCTCTCCTCTGTTGAAGCGCTCGACCACTCTTCACTGCAGCAGGGCTTCGCCAACTTCACCAAAAATCCAGATCTCCAAAAATGAGGCCCAAGGGGGATATTTATAGGCAATGGGGAGCACCTAGGGTGCCTAGACACCCTAGGGTGCCTAGACACCCTAGGGTGCCTAGACACCCTAGGGTGTCTCAGAAAATCCGAGACACCCTTGGGGTGTCTCGGAAATTCCGAGACACCCCTTGGGGTGTTTTGGAATTCCTGAGACTCCGTTGAGATGTATTCGATTGTTTTCGCCGTAAATTCTTCGTCCGAACTCGGATTTGAGTGATTCAAAGTGCGTTGGAAGCTTGACGAAGAGTTCGATCCGCTCTGGTGGTTGGATTATCTATAGAGTGATCGAGACATGACGGGCATTGTCCTTTTTGTGAACATTGCTGGGTTCCCGATTGGTCCGGGTCTTCTGAAATCCTATCAGCTCACGTAGTTCGTCGATTCACTTCAATCGTTCATCGACATCAATTGGACTCCTGTGGATCAGATAGTGACGTTCATCGTCGCTCTTTAACACTGAACCGTTCGTAGAGACCTATAGGTAATTTTCGATGCCTACAGGGTATTCATGACACAGCCCAATGCATTGAATTGGTGACTCGCCAGGTGGGCTTTGTTGCTTTCCCAATATGACATCCACTTCAAACCTCAAAAAGCAGTGAAAGGTCAGGCTATTTGTGACCTTATGGCTAATCATCCGCTAAAAGAAAAGGCCGAATTATACCAGGACATACCTGATGAGACATATGAAGCAAACGTCGTCTCTAGAGAACAAGTATGGCAATTGTACTTCGATGGTGCAGCAAGGATAAGTTCTACTGGTCGGGTTATAGATGGAGTGGGGGTTGTCTTTATCTCAACCCAAAACCACATACTCCCACGCGCCATTTCTTTAACAGAGTCGTGTTCTAACAATGTGGAGGAATACAATGCTTTGTTGGTTAGCTTGGATATAGCCAAACAGTTGGCGGTGAAATGCTTAGAAGCATACGGTGATTCTCAACTCATTGTTAATCAAATGAAGGGAGAATATGAGGTTAGGAATGAAGACCTCGTTCCTTACCATACCGCAGCAATCGCATTGGCCGATTCCTTTGTGGGCTTCTATATTGACCATGTACCTTGTCTCAAGAATACCTATGCTGATGCATTAGCGTCACTTGCGACTACCTTAGCTCTACCTGAAAGAACTACCCAGCAGGTCATAGTGACAAGCAGACAATTATTCAAATCAAAGTATGCACTACAGATCAACGCAGTTGAAGCGAAACCTTCAACACTCGAACCTAAAGATTGGTGATTTCCAATCATCGATTATATCTTATATGGCTTATTGCCTGAAGACATCAAAGAAAAAGAATCTATTCGTAGACGAGCACCTAGATTCTACTATGATTCTCAATCCCAGATTTTGTATCGAAAGTCGTACGATGGACTTTTGCTTCGCTGTTTGTCAAATAGAGAAGCAAAAGAACGATGGACTTTTGCTTCGCTGTTTGTCAAATAGAGAAGCAAAAGAAGCCCTTAAAAAGGCTCATGACGGCATCTGCGGAGCTGATCAGCCCTATCCTAAGTTGTGGGACCGACTATGCAGATTAGGTTATTATTGGCCTAACATAGTACAAGACGCTGTTGCTTATGCCAAACAATGCCATGCTTGTTAGATACATGCTAATTACATGCATCGACCACCCCGAGCATCTTCATCCTTCAACCACGTTATGGCCTTTCGAAACGTGGGGAATGGACATTGTTGGCCAAGTAACACCACCCTCTTCCAAAGGACATCGCTTCATTTTGGCGATAACCGATTACTTTTTTAAATGGGCAGAAGCAATCCCATTGAGAGAAGTCAAAACGAGTGATGTTGTTAAATTCTTAAAACATCACATCGTATATAGGTACGGTGTTCCGAGACGTATCATTCATGACAATGAGCCCCAATTCGTTAGCCAAGCCTTCACCCGATTCTGTGATAAATTCAGAATCAAGAATTTAGCTTCAATGGCTTATAATCCTGCTGCTAACGTGCAAGCAAAAGTATTTAACAAGACCATCGTCAGAATTCTCACTAAAGTGATTTTGACGAACAAAAGAGATTGGAACGAGAAATTGGGTCAAAGCTTGTGGGCTTATCGCACAACGGTTCGAACGCCGACAGGAGCGACACCATATTCCTTGGTGTACAGATGTGAAGCCGTATTACCATTAGAAATCCAAATTCCCTCTTTGCGGATAGCACTCGCAATTGGTATGATGACGGAAGAGAGTCATCGCCGACGTCTTGAAGAATTGGAAGCACTTGATGAAAAGCGGCTATTGGCTCAACAACACATTGAGCTTTATCAAGCTCGGATTTCTAGAGCATTTGATAAGAAAGTTAAATACCGCACATTTAAAGAAAGCGACTTGGTTCTTGCAGTTCAGCGCCTGATGATTTTGAACTCCAAGAAGAAAGGAATGTTTGAGCCAAAGTGGGAAGGGCCATTTATAGTAGAAACTGTCTACTCGAATGGAGCCTATCGTCTTATCACCCAAGATGGCAACAAACTTATGATGCCTATCAACGGTAAATTTTTGAAGAAATATTACCCGTAGACTTCATCATCAAATGTACCTTGCCGCGGGAGAAGAAGCAAATAAAGGTAATGATTTCTTTATTTCATCTCCTCCAAATTTCCCTTACTAATCCTCTTCAATAGGATAGTGGGACTATTATTGTATTAATTCTACCTCTGATTGCTGATGGTCTTCTAATAGTAACCTACTATGTGATGTGTTGCTCTCCTAAAACGTCATCATTTTCCTAAATGACGTTCGTTTTCCTAACTTAGGCCTACCAAGTGATGTGCCTTCATTTCCAACATCATCATACTTCTAAAGTCACTGAACGATGTAATTTCCCTAACGTCGTCATTTTTCCCAGATGACGTTCGTTTTCCCTAACTTAGGCCTACCAAGTGATGTGCCTTCGTTTCCAACATCGTCATACTTCTAAAGTCACTGAACGATGTAACTCTCCTAAAACATCATCATTTTCCCAATTGACATTCGTTTTCCTAACTTAGGCCTACTAAGTGATGTGCCTTTGTTTCCAACATCGTCATACTTCTAAAGTCACTGAACGATGTAATTTTCCTAATGTCGTCATTTTCCCAGATGATATTCGTTTTTCTAACTTAGGCCTACCAAGTGATGTGCCTTCGTTTCCAACATCGTCATACTTCTAAAGTCACTGAACGATGTAATTTTCCTAATGTTGTCATTTTCACAGATGACGTTTGTTTTCCTAACTTAGGCCTACCAAGTGATGTGCCTTTATTTCCATCAACATCGTCATACTTCTAAAGTCACTGAACGATGTAATTTCCCTAACGTCGTCATTTTCCCAGATGACGTTCGTTTTCCTAACTTAAGCCTACCAAGTGATGTGCATTCGTTTCTTTCATCATCGTCATACTTCTAAAGTCACCGAACGATGTAATTTTTCTAACGTTGTCATTTTACTCTAATGACGTGCGTTATCCAATATTGGTTTACCAAGTGAAGAGCCTTGGTTTTCTTTACCTTAAGTCATTAAATGACTTGATATTCCTAACGTCGCCATTTTTACAAAATGACGTTCATTTTCCCAACGAGTCCGCCATGTGTTGAACTTCGTCCTTAATACTTAGTTATATTTTGAACCTCGTTATCATACATTTGATCTGGGGTCTTGTAAGACCCCGTTGATTTTGATAATTCATATATGTGGATATTAGTGAAACACAATATTCAATATGTGAAAAATATCTTCATGGCATGGTTGTGCATGAAATCTAGCATTTTTGAGCTTATGAGAATGTATATATGCATTAGTTATGAAGTTGAGTTTGCAAATTTGCAATTCATAAGCATCAGAGTCGAAGAACTTAGTTTTCAGCTCATGAGTTGACCCATGACTGTCATGAGTCGACTCATGATATCATCTCCCTTTGTCATAAGTTTCTGCTGAGTCGACTTATAAGATTATGAGTCGACCCATGAGTCATGAGTCGACTCACGACTGAGCATGAGTCGACTCATCGAGTGTTTTCTGGTTTTTCTGGGTCGGGTTTGTTTGGGTTTCGGGTCGGGTTTTAACTGTTTATATATATGCTCCTCTATCCGAAAACACTTCATTTCATCAGTTCTCCCCAGAAACCCTAGTCCCCCTCTCTCCTCTCTCAAACCCTAGGTGTTCTTGGTGATTTTGGGACGTTTCAAAGGATTGTTCGGCAGTTTCTTTTGGATTTCAGCGAAGGGAATCGTTCTTCATCACATCTGAGGCGAGTAACATCTCGCCCAATCTCTCTCCCATGCTTTTACGAATTTATAAACGTTTTTCATGAGTTTTATTGAGCCTAAGACATATTTTCAAATATAAAACGGTGTTCTTTTTAGTGTAAATGCTAAAGATCATATGTTTTCGGATTTTAAATCCCCACCAACAATTTTTAAACTCCCACCAACGAGCTTTTAATGAAAACCCAGATCTGGAATTTTATTTAAAGAAATAAAAATATGAGTTTTATCTTGACTGAATGCTCTCTTTCATAATTAGGGGTTTAAAAGTTAGGTTTAACATGCAAGTAATCTTTTCTCATGCTATGTATGATTTCTTTCACTGCCTCATAGTTTAAAATTGATAGTTAGGGAGGTGTAGATCAATATAGTGGAAGTATGGATCGAGATGGACGGATTGCAGTTGTGATATATGCATATTTCAGCCCGTAAGTCGACTCACGACTCATCACGAGTCGGCTCATCAGGTTAAGTCGACCCATGACTGTCATGAGTCGACTCACGAGGTCTAGTTGTGTTGCCTTTTTGCTTCTGCTGAGTCGACTCGTCAGTATACGAGTCGACCCATAGGTCATGAGTCGACTCATAACTAACCATGAGTCGACTCACAAAGTCATTTCCTGTTATCATATGTTTTCTGCTGAGTCGACTAAGCATTACCTTTTAGTCCTCGTGTTGGACACCCTTCCTACTTAGTCCTCGTGTTGGACATGCATTGCTATTTAATCCTCGTGTTGGATATGCATCATCATCCGGTTCATGTGTTGGACAACGGTCACATCCGGTCCATGCGTTGGACAACGGTCACACCCGGTCCATGCGTTGGACAATGGTTATATTCAGCCCATGAGTTGGACGTTTACTTCATGCAGTCTATGAGTTGGACGTTTACTTCATGCAGGTTATATTCAGCCCATGAGTTGGACGTTTACTTCATGCAGTCTATGAGTTGGACGTTTACTTCATGCAGTCTATGGGTTGGACGTTTAATTTATATAGTCTATGTTTTGGACACTTAATCGTTTTCGGACATGACATTCATGTGAGTTTGACATGACACTGTTCGCGGGAAAAATCGTAGCTTTCTTCATTGATGATATCATTGTACACCTTAATAATCGTTTATCGAGTTACAAAGATCCGGTCTTTTTATAAGAGCCGGTTACAATGAAAATCAAAATACAAATAAAGAAAAATTACAACTTGTTTCCTTCTTTGTCGAACGAATCGCGAGCTCCTGTTTTGCGGTCACTCGCTTTGTGTGGGTTCTTTGCCTGCGCCGGGGTTATTTGCCGTGGACCACCGCGTGATCTCGATCCGGTCGGATCTACACGATATGACGGGTAATATTCCACCAAGGAAATAATAGCCGGGTGGGGTACTAATTCACCAAGCTGCCTTATTTGGCGTTGGTGATCGCCGAGCACCGGATCTGAAAGTCCAAGTCTCCAAGCCTTCAAAGTTGTGATCTTTTTTAGATCTGAGTCTTCAATCCAGCAGGGCTTCGCCTCTCTCCCAAATTTCCAGAAGAAATCCTCCAAATGAACGAGTACCAGGCCTATTTATAGGCTCTCAGAACTGTGCGTTTGCACAGTTCTGAGCCTAGCCACCCCTAGGTGGCTCGGCCATAGCCGAGCCACCCAGGGGTGGCTCGGCCTTGGCCGAGCCACCAAACATAAAAGGAACAAAGATTAGAGATGCTCAATATTGTCTTTGTCGCGTCGATCTGGAATTTTCTGAAGCAGCACTCGCTGTAATGATGGTACTGGGTCATCCGGCTCTGAGTCTACTTCGCACAGCTTCTAACGGATCGTAAAACGGAGTCTTCTACGAATTTCTATGAATTTCTGAGTGAAGGCTGCGCTTCTGCGTATTTTCTACGTATTCTGCCTGTATATCTTCTCTTTTCTGCCTCTCTAACCTTTTTACTGCCGTCATTAGCAGTCCTTAAATAGGATTTATTACCCCTAGGCAGCT